CTCTCTCTCTCTGACAGTGTTTCTCTGTGGCCCTGGCTGTCCTGGAACTTGCTTTGTAGATCAGGCTGACCTCCAACTCAGAGATTCATCTGCCTTTGCCTCTCAAGTGCCGGTATTAAAGACATGAATAAAAATGGGGTTATTGGCAGGTTTTTTTTCTTTTGATTCTTTTATGGTACCTTGTAACTTACTTTCCAATATTACAAAATAAACTTGTTTTTGGTTTTTGTTTGTTTGTTTGTTTGTTTGTTTTCTCAGACAGGGTCTCACTATGTAGCCTTTGCTGGCCTGGAACTGATTTTGTAGCCTGATCTGATCTTGAACTACCTCTGCCTCCTGTGTGCTGGAATCAAATACATGCACCCCACCATACATGGCCTGAAAACTACCTTTTGTTACTAAAGCGTGTGTTTGTTTCATTGTGATTAGGTTGGTGCAGTTGCAAGAGCATTATTATACTTGGAACCAGCGTTAAGGTGCAGTCTTTATGTTATCTCACCTAACATATTATTATGTTATTTTACCTCTCCCTAGAATTTGTAAAATTATTAATTAATTAATTAATTTTATGTATATAAGTGCTCTGTTGACTTTAGGCCAGAAGAGGGCATCAGATCCCACTATAGGTGGTGGTGAGTCATCCACCATGTGGTTGCTGGGAACTGAACTCATATCCTCTGGGAGAACAGTCAGTGCTCTTAACTGCTGAGTCATCTCCCAAGTCCCCATTTTACCTCTTTTACCCCTCTCGAAACTAGGTGAGCGTATACAAGGACACCTGTTTTTGCAAAGTAGTGGCCCAACTATTGACTCACAGAAAAACATCGTCGAATGTTATCGAGCCGCTCCAGCCCTCTCCGTCAGGAGTCACTGTGCGGTCCTGGAGTAGGGAAAGACCTGAGCCCTGTTAAAATTCTCTACTAACCTCAGGTTCTTGCCAAAAGCGCATCAGACTTGAATTGCACACAGGCCACTGTAAACTTCTTGGCATACAGCACAGAAGTGTCCCCTTCTCCCCTAAGGTCATAAGCAATGTCAGATATGAGTGGTCTCTCATCCACTGGCCAAGAACCCTACTTTACATCATAGATCACTGTAATTTGGAGACTCTCCCCAGAGAAGTGCAAATTCCAGTTTTCCTCTTCTATAGTCAACATGTTACTGTTGATAAAACACAAGAACTTTCCATAGTTAGCAAAACTGCATTCTCTATGAGGGCAAGGGCTATCGTTGATTGAGTTCACCCTTGTGCTGCCAGAATCCACAGCAGTCCCTAGGTCATTAGAGCTCTTCAGTACATGCCCAGGGTGTGGTGAGTTAAAGAGACAAATTCGGGTCCATAAGCGTATGAGGAGGGAGTTGAGAAGGGAGGATGTGGTCAAATCTGTACAGAAGAAAGGATGGAAGTGCCACAGTGAAATGCATCGATTTGTCCAATTAATGTTTGAAATTTCAATACTTGTTAGTAGGAACATTGTTGCTCTGATAATGTGTGTAGAAAGGAGTTGTGCTATTCTATTTATGCTTATCATACTTGTTTTTTCAAGACAGGGTTTCTCTGTAACTTTGGAGCCTGTCCTCCTGGAACTAGCTCTTGTAGACTGGCCTCGAACTCACAGAGATCCACCTGCTTCTGCCTCCCAAGTGCTGGGATTAAAGGCCTGTGCCACCACCACTTGGCTTGTATTTTATTTTATATTATTTGTATTTTATTTACATTTGTGTGTATGTATTTTAGGAAGACTGTCCTGCAGTATTTTTCCATATGACTTTTTTTGAAAGGTACTTAGTGTTTTCCCTCCTTGGCAATGGAGAAGAGGGCTGCCAAATCAGAAAGAAGCCTTG